AATTTATCATTAATTTTTACATTTCAATTATTATCTGCTTGAGGATGTATCATCATTTACTCAACTGGACCACTCTTGATGTATATTTAAATGGTGACTACTTATTATGAAAATGCAAAAATTTCCTTGAAGTGGGATTTCTGGGTCAAAAATAGATGCTACTATGACTTTCTTCAATTTTTTAATTGTCGTTAAATATACATAACATACAGTTTCCCATCTTAACCATTTATAGGTATACAGTTTAGTGATATTAATTACATTTAGAAGGATGTGTCTGCAACTCTTTTCATTTTATAAAACTGAAACTTTATACACATTAAACAATAATTCCCTATTCTCTTCTTCCCCATGACCCCCAGAATACACAATTCTACCTATTGTCTCTGTGATTGTGACGAAGTAACTTATATAAGTAGAATCATGTGGTATTTATCTTTTTTATGATGAGCTTATTTCATCTATCATAATGCCCTCAAGGTCTAGCATATGTCAGCCTTTCACTATCCGTTTGTGTCTTGACATCTAAACTGAGTCTGTTGTAGACAACATATAGTTGGATCATGCTTCTTTCTCAATCCATTTGGTCAATCTCTGTCTTTGACTGGAGAGTTTAATTAATTAACATTTAAAGTCATTACTGCTAAGGAGGGACTTCTGTCATTTTGATATTTGTTTTTTTTTTTTCCATAGTCTTAAAGTTTTCTCATTTTCATTTCCTTCAGCACTGTCTTCTTTTGTGTTTAGTTGATTTTTTGTAGTGTTTAAATTGTTTTTTTTTTAATTTTCTTTTGTTTGTATTCTATAACTGTTTTCTTTGTCTTCATCATGTGAATTATATTTAAATCCTAAGGTCATAGCACTCTAAGTTAAATTTATGCCAGCTTACATTTAACAATATATAAAATTCTGGGGCACCTGGGTGACTCAGTCAAGTCTGACTCTTGATTTTGGCTCAGGTCCTGATCCCAGGTACAGGGGATCAAGCCCTGCAGTGGACATTGCACTGAGCATGGAGTCTGCTTGGGACTCTCTCTTCTTCTGCCCCTCTCCCCTGCTCCTGAACTCTCTCTCTCTCTCTAAGAGAAATTTAAAAAAAAAAATACAAAACTCTGCTCTTTTCCAGTTAAATCCTCACCTTTTTAGTCTATTTGTGTAACAAAATTACACGTTTATATATTGTGTGTCTGAAAACATAAAGTAATAATTCTTTTAAATTTCTTAGTCTCTTAAATTATGTAGAAATCACAAATTAGAGTTACAGACTTTGGTACTATAATACCAGCTTTTGTGATTGCCCATACATTGACCTTTGCGAGATCTTTGTTTCCCCCTACTGCTGGACATTATTGCCTGGTGCCTGCCCATTGTAACCTGCAGGATTCCCTTGACACTTCTTGCAGGGCTGGATTAGTAGTAATGAACTCTCTCAGCTTTTATCTTGCAAGTCTTAATTTCTCTGCCACTTTAGAGGACAGTTTTCCCAGGTATAGAATTCTTTTTTGACATTTTTTTTTCTTTTAGTACTATGAATAAATAGGGTCACTGTCTTCTGGCCACCAAAGTTTCTAATAAGAAAGAGGCTGATAATCTTATTGAGGATCCTTTGTATGTGAGGAGTAATTTCTCTCTAGCTGTTTTCAAGATTCTCTTCTTGTCTTTGTCTTTTGTGTTTGATTATGAAGTGAGTTGGTGTGATTCTCTTTAAATTTATCTTAATAAATTTCATTGAGCTCTTTGGATGTATATCTGTATCTCTATCTTTCATCAGACTTTGGCAGTTTTCAGCCATTATTTTTTCAAACATTCTTTTTCTTTTCTCCTTCTGAGACTCCCACAATGTGTATGTTGGTCTTGTTAATAGTGCCCTGTTGGTCAATTAGGCACTGTTCCCTTTTATTTAATCATGGTTTTTTTTTATTTTTCTGTTACTCAGCATCAATAATTTCCATTGCCCTAGCTTCAAGTTTATTGATTCTTTCTTCTGCCTGCTCAAATTTGCATTTCAACCTCTCTAGTAAACTTTTTATTTCAGTTCTAGAATTTATTATAGTTTCCTGTAGTTTCTTTTCAGGTTATCTGTCTCTTTTCCGTTTTATTAATACATAAGTTTCTTGACTTTCTCTACATCTATTTTTAGTTCTTTGTACATCTTTAAGGCAGCTGTTTTAACATCTTTATCTAGTAACTCATCAATCAGGTGTTTTTCAGGGCCAATCTCTATTCATTTTTTTCCCTTTGAATGGGCCATACTTTTCTGTTTTTATGTATATCCTGTGTCATTGTTATTGTTGCTGTTGTTGTATATACCCTGTGTTGTTGTTGTTGTTGCTGAAAACTGGACATTTGAATCTAATAATGTGGTAATTCTGGAAATCAGAATTTTTCACCTTCCCAGAATTTACTGGTTTTTATTTCTATTTTTGTTTAATTGTGTTTGTGTGTGTGTGTATACATATACATATACATGTACATATACACACATGTATACGTGCATGTGTGTGTATACATGTATATATGTTTTCTTTATTGTAGTCTGTCTCTGCACTGAGGACTAGTCTGAGGTGTAAACCTAGGGTCTTCTCAAGTAGTTTCTGAGCTATGACTTCCCCTGGGTATGCACATTGACTTGCTAATTTCCCTCCATGTGTAGTTGCTTTTAATGCCTGGCTTCCAAAGGGAAAAAGGGAGAAAAAAGAATAGGGTAAAAAGGTTGCTAGCCCTTTGAATTCCCTGGAAATTTCCTCAGTCTAAGTGGAGTGGCTTACAGCAAGAAGGGTGGGTGTGACAATAGTCACCTGCATCTCTGTGATTAGAAACAGCAGTCACTGATGAGGGCACAGATCTCTGATATTTAGAGGACATGGTCCTTTTTACCCATAATTACTCCCAGCAGCAGTGTGCAAGCTGCTACAGGAATATGAGCCCAGCTCCCTGCCAAGTGGCAGAGGGGTGGGAGATGTGTAACTGCTACTGTGCTAAGAGTTGTAATTGATGGAAATTAATCATATTTTACTGTCCAAACCTTACTCCAGAAGTTGGAACACTGAAATAAACTCTGGAGTTCTAAAATAGCTGTATCAGAAAGATCTTGCCAATTCTTGTTTACATGAAGATAGATTCCTGATATCATCTTCTCAGAATTCCCCAATACTCATATCGTTCTCATATACTATGCCAGATTTTCCATCATAAGTTTGTAACACTCTTTTAATAATACCAGGAATGTCTGGAAGTACATTTTTTCTCACAGGCTCACCAATAGAGTGGAGTGTCCACTTGGGACCATTGCTAATCTAACAAGTAACAAATGGAATTTCATTGTGGTTTTCATTTGAATTTTTCTTCTTGTGTATAAAGGTGAGCATCTTTGTATATGATGAAGAGTCATTTACCTTTCTCTTTCTGTGAACTCTTTTTATTCTCACACAGTGTTTTGTGTTTTGTTTTGTTTTTTTTTTAATGTACAGATGATGTTTTTTCTTTCCTAATTTGTAAATCTACATATGTTAGGGATTTGAACATTTTGCATCTGTTGTTAATTGCAGATATTTTCCCTAGCTTGTCACTTGTGGCTTTACTTTGTTTATTGTGTCTTGCCAAGCCATTTTGTAATGTCATCAAATTTATCTCTTTATTCCCTTATTGCTTCTTGATTTTGAGCCATAGTTAGGAGAGATATGCCCACTCTCACATTATAGTAGAATTCGTCTGTGGTTTCATCTATTACTAGCACTTGTATTGTTTTATTGTTTATTATATATGAATATCCTCTCCATTTGAGATTTACGCTAGTATAAAGAATGGATGCAATTTGATCATTTTCTGTATGGCTCTTCTATTTGATAAATGATAGTATTCAAAAATCCATTTTCCCCTACTGTTTGGAGATGATTCCTTTATCATCTGCTAAATTGTCATGTGCAATTTTGACTATTTCTGGATTTTCAAGTCTATTGTACTGGCAAACTTTTTTATTTCCTCTCACATAATGCCCCAGGAGAGTTTCTCTTGTTGTCTCAGTGTTGAAGCAAAGAAGTAATAGAAATTAACCCATTTTTTGATATGTCTGACTTCTGGCACCCTGGATTTGAATTCAAGCTCTATCTTACATTGTCCCTTTGATCTTGTACACATTATTTAATATCTCAAAGTTCTCAAGTCCTTCTCTGTAAAATGGGAATGATTTACAGACTTATTGATGATAATTTACATAAAGCATTTAGCACAAAGTAGGCCTTAATAATTGGAAGCCATAGTTATTTTATTCTTACAGTTACTGTTTTGCCAAATGCATAATATATTCCATAGTTACATGATATGACTTCTACTGTTTCTTCACTTTGAGACAAAGAATATCATGTTAAACAAAGGAAGATAATGAAATTGAAGAAAATTTCTGCAGGAAGAAATGTGCTTCAATTCACTATAATGCCTGTATTTAAGAAATATCCTCTGTAGGCATTAAGAGTATCATCAATGTATTTTGATTTAATATGATTGATGTAATTGGCTGGATTCTTGCCTTTAGAAAAATATTTTACCAGCTGGAACAGAATATGTTCATTTTAATTTTCAAGCAGCTTGATATTTGGTACAAATTACTAGTCTTTGTTTATTACAAGATATGGTAGAAGACCATGCAGACCATAATTAAGATTTATGTACCATTAAAACACAATTTTATAATTCAAAATTTGCTCTCCCGACACTTAATATCTCTTTTCATGTGATGAAGTTTCAAGTTAATTAAAGAGCTCTCCTAATAAAAGATATTTAGAAAACCATCCAAACAAGAAATATTTTCCATCTTTCTTACTCATAAGCTAATTAATTACATACTACATTTGTGTCTCCTTTCACTAGACTGCATAATTTTGAAACTTAATTTACTAACGAAATTGTGATTTTGTTCCTCGGTTGATGAAGGAAAACAGATATAGCACACACACATATTACCTCTTGTTCTCAATTAATACTGAAATTTCACTGTCTTTCAGGGACTCCGGAGGATTACCCACGATTTTTCCATATGCATCCTAGGACGGCAGAACTTAGCCTCCTGGAGCCCGTAAACAGAGATTTTCACCAGAAATTTGATTTGGTTATTAAGGTAAATTAAATTAATGTTTTATTACCTTGTGTTTCTAAACTGGTAATCAAAGAAACCAATAGCGGCTACTGTAGGCTCTTTTATGTTATAAAACATAAAATTAATCTGGCAGCAGTTAGCGAATGTTTTTGTTAAAAAAATTGAACTGTGGCAGTTCTATTGTGTTGTGTTCTTTTAAAATATCAGTTTATATTATGATGAGATTCAAATACTGAGCATTTTTATATGTAATCAATGTCCTGGTCAAATGTATATAATACTACATAATATAACTTTGTTACACTTCTAGGGTTTAATTTGTCTTGCCAAAAAAACTAATTTTTGATCACAAAACCTTCACTAATGACTATATTTTAAATGTACATGCATTCATATATTTATTTATTTTAATAATGCATTATTTAAAAACTATTGTTGCTCTTTCTAACATAAAAACAAAAGATCTTGCCTTTCCAGAAATTCTTTTAATATATGTCTCGTTATTTTCTTTATTTTGAAAAATGATCCCAGACTGGAAAAATTATCAAAGCGAGGGGAATCCACTTGGCATTACAACAACAGTTTAATAATATTTACTGTATTGTAATAAAATCATTTAAAAGGTACTGTGGAAACCCAGATGATCTGCCAGTTAATTCTGATAGACTTTGCTGGGAAGGTAATATTTGAGCTGGACAGGGAAGGAATAATGGTAATTTATGGAGGGCACTCTAATTAATAGAACAGACACAAGCAAGGACATGGGATAAATCTAAACAATAGGTATTATATGACTTTCTCATATCTACACACAGAGAACCATAACTATAGAAATGAATCCCTAGGATATTTTTTTTTTTAATTTAAAAGTGTTAAAAGGAAGTAAGATGGGGAAACTTACTGAGCAAGTACATTGTACAAGTCCATTTTTCATTGAATTAGAGCCACAACCTTAGTCGTATGCTCACTGGTACAAATGTGTAACTAAGCTCAGGTAAGGTGAGTGATTGATTCAGAGTTAACCTCACTAAAAAGCAGCATCTAAGTGAGGGCCATACTCTTTCACTCCACCCAGATGCAGTTGCTTAGGAATGGTTGTGTGGCTTAAATATGTGTCACCGCAACTGCAAACAATCATCCGTAGACAAACAGTTAATGTTAGCTCAAATTAGGATGTATTTTGTGAGCCCTGATCCTGTTGTGCATTGCCAGATCCTGAGATTAGTTGGTTGTCTTCTGTCCTTGAAGAACTTGTAGTCTATGAAGGCAAAGAGTTATATAGGCCGATAAATCAAATATAACACATCAGCCTGCTAATATAATAGGAGGACCACTGAAACGTGCTGGAAAAGCACAGAATAGGGAGATATCAATTAATCTGGGGACTCAGAGAAGATGTTCTGCAGATTGTGCCAAGCTCAGTGTTGCTTCATAGGAAGAGTTCGGCCAATGGATAGAAGTTCCTTATGTTTGAACATAAGGAAGAGCAGAAGTGAAAACAAGGAGGCATGATGTAGGCGGCTATGAGTGGTTAATGGGGAAATGAGGTATAGAGGCAGAACATGGAAGAGCCTCATGTAAGACTATTTCCTTGGATTTTGTTTAGTAGGACTTGGGAGTCATTCCACAAAGACAGACTCCTTTCACCATTTGTGTAAAATGGCCACGCATGAAATATATCTTCTTGCACTGACTATTTTAATTATCGTGGAACTATATAAAACTCAAAAATACGTTTCCATTGTCTACCGGTGATCTGCTTATACTCCTGTGGTGCTGCTGTCTGTGGGAGGTGAGAAACCCGATGAAGCAGTGTTCCCAAACCGCCTCATTTCAAACCTGAAATCAGTGATTTTCCTTTATTATAAGGTTAGTTGTCCTGGCATACCCAGGTATGGTGAAACTCAGCCCATCAATTACAGAGACCAAAATCAATTAGAACAGGCCATAGATAATTTTTTTATGGTTTAATAACACTATATATTATTAATGGAAGTTTTTACAGACATTATTAGATTCAAATTACTGTGTTTTGTGTGCAGTCAAGGGGATAATAAGCAAAGGTATCAATCTATAAGAATAATAATGTGCCACCTGCTTGAATAATAGCTGAATATTGTGGCTTTGTATAGGGATCCCTTGAAATGCTACAATCTGGCAGTTCTCTCTAGTAGGTCTTTCAGCTTCTTCCCTTTTCTTATTTTAATAATGCTTCATTTTTCATTGGCCATAAAAGTTTTTATTGGATTTGATCCCAATTTCTGTTTTGGAATTAAGGAAAAATAAAACAAAATGAAGCATTTTCTCCTAGACTTTGAGAATTCTGCTTTTAAAAGATACATGCACATTGCACAGCTGGTAAGTGTCATGGTTAAGAAATTTATCATCTTTGTTTCATTCGGCTCAGCCAGTGATTCATTCAGCATCCTACAAAAATGGAAAGGTGAGACTAGGAAGAGAAAATGGAGTAGTTCACCAGCTTTAAGATATTACAGGATTGGAACTCGTCCAGTTAAAAGAGGAAACGACATTCCATTTCTAGATGCTCTTCCAAATCTAAAATAAATGTCATCACTTAAGCATTTTTAAAATGAAGCACACATTTTGAATAAGAATCACACATTTGGTTGGCTCAGGATGGTTCATATTCATGCCTGTTGTCTTTGTGTAATTATTCATAATATCTCTTTCACTTTCGAAACCATCCCAGTTTGGATGAAAAGTTACGTGATCACCATAGTTACGAAGCAAAAAGCAACTATGGGATAGAAATACAAAAGCATATTTTAGATTCGGGGTGATCATGAATTAGTTCATGCATGAAGTCTCATTAACAAAGCCCAGAAAATTCTCTTTTGTTATTGTAAGTGTAGTATTTAAAAAAGAAAACTATTAGTACATATGTTGGTGCTCCAGATATCTAACACAAATATCTAATGGATAAATTATTAACAATTCACTGCCTGGCAGTTGCTCAAACATTTTGCTTTTTATCTAAAAAGCAATTTGCTTTTTATCTAAATCCCATGGGTTCAAACGAGGCTCACAGACAGGATTGTCTTATGGTCTGTCAGATTTTTACTTTTTGTTTTCCCACTGGCTTGCTTCTACCCTCTAGCAGGCTGACCTGTATTCCTTGTCCGTCCACGCCCTGAGCCTATCAACTGGAGCCCTCATTAGTCACCTGCACGCTTTCCGCTTTCCGTCCGGCCATCCTGGAGCACTAGCAGTACTCTCCAGTCGCCCTGTTCTCTCTGCCCCCGGGCATTTGGAGATGCCACCTTGCCTCCTGAATCATCCTATCCTTTCTCATGGGAGTCTAGTTCACACCGAGGCACCAGTAATTAGCATCGGTGGGCTTTACTTCCTCTGGAAAGGCGCCACCGGTTGGAGGCTTCTTCTTACATCCCTGCTTGTCCCTATGGTGGCTCTGATCACTCTACATTCAGTTTTTCTGTTTATTTTCTCTTGACCTCTGCAGTAGTGCAGATTGTAATATATGTCTTCACACTGTGGCCCAAGACCCTACCCCATCCATGTATACTGCATACAAGGTGCTCGATGAATTGTCGTGTTAGTTTTCTCCCTGGCACAAGAAAACTTGTAAAGCTGCTAGATTTATGTACCTACGTCATCACTACATTTACATACATACTTTTTTTTATGAAATTTATTGTCAAATTGGTTTCCATACAACACCCAGTGCTCATCCCAACAGGTGCCCTCCTCAATACCCATCACCCACCCTTCCCTCCCTCCCACCCCCCATCAACCCTCAGTTTGTTCTCGGTTTTTAAGGGTCTCTTAAGTTTCGGCTCCTTCCGTCTCTAACCTCTTTTTTTTTCCTTCCCCTCCCCCATGGTCTTCTGTTAAGTTTGTCAGGATCCACATTACATACATACTTTTGAAAGTGTATGTGTTCAGTACAACTTTATCTTGTGTCTATTGCCAGAAAAAAGTTGCAATAAACTTTTCAAATCCAATCACTTGGGGGTGAGGGGGAGGGCCAGACCTATGTTAAGGCAGAGTTTAAAGCCATTTATGGCTATATTAAAAAAAAGAAAAAAACCTCCTCCTAAGGAAAAGATATATATTGACACAAAAAATGAGCCACAGAATTGAAACTGGCGAGCTTTGGGGCGCCTGGGTGGCGCAGTCGGTTGAGCGTCCGACTTCAGCCAGGTCACGATCTCGTGGTCCGTGAGTTCGAGCCCCGCGTCGGGCTCTGGGCTGACGGCTCGGAGCCTGGAGCCTGTTTCCGATTCTGTGTCTCCCTCTCTCTCTGCCCCTCCCCCGTTCATGCTCTGTCTCTCTCTGTCCCAAAAATAAATAAACGTTAAAAAAAAAAAAATTAAAAAAAAACAAAAACAAAAAAAGAAACTGGCGAGCTTAAATGTTAGTGATGATGTGAAGGTTATCCTGGGGAGTTACTTTGCTCCAGGCATGTGACAAGACAGCGCATCCTAGGAAGGACTGAGGCTCAAGAGAACAGCTATGTGGCGCATGGGTTTCTGGTGCCACAGATCATTGGGTTCTTTCTGAACGGGGACACTCATTGCACTCCACTCCACAGGGATTCAGTGGAAAACTCAGGCTCGCCTGTTTTTAAGGCATCTGGCATTTGCTGCTTTTCAGTTTGCCACATCTTTTCTGAGCCCTTAAGAGGTGCCTGACATTTTGCTTGGTGTTGAAGAGACAGAAATGGGTGGAGGCTTTGCCTCAAGGAAACGGCAGGTATGGAGACGACGATTTTAGACTGACCTCCCTTCTGAGGTCTGCATCAGTGTTTGCAATTACCGGCTGGATGACTAGTCCCAGGGCAATGCAGGCGTGTCGTGTTGAGAGTGCAGCACACTCAGCACCTGTGAAAACCTGAAGCCTTCTATTCCTGCTTTTCTCTTGGCTCACCACCACCACAGTCATCTGGGCACCCATCTAGGAGATGCCAGTTCCCCAGACACCTGTCCTGCGGTCCACGTCCAGTTACCATTGGGTCTTCTCCACATAGCTCTGGGGTTTCT